AGCAGAGCATCAGGGTGGTTGCATGGAAACTGGGCAACCAGAGCAGAGCACTGGAAATACACTGCCTGGGTGGGCAAAGGTACTGGCAGGAGGATGGAGGTGAGATGGGGAGCAAGGGTGTCCAGTCCTACCTCATGCTGTTTGTCCCTGGCACCCAAGAGAAGAGCATGGAGCATGTTCTGCCACTTCACATGGTTTCCTGCCCTGGGGTGCAGTGCTGTAAGCTTAAGGGGTTGTGCACAGGGGGTGCAGATGTGCAGGATCCCTTGGAGTGCTTAGATTTGGCAGAGCCCTCTGGGCAGCAGCTCCCATCCTCTCCCTTACCTTGGCACCTCTGAAATGCTGCAGCTTCCATCATAATAATGCTGCCTGATGCAGTCTCACAGGAGGATGGAGGTGAGATGTGGTCTCAGAAGGTGAAAATCCAGGCTGGCCTTCTGAGAAGCTTGTTAATGTATCTAGAAACTCCTGTATTCTTGTAACTCATCTCAAATGTTCCTAGAATTGGCTAACTTCATCTGGGTTTGGGCAGACACCCTCTGCCAGTTATGCTGTCCTTGGAGCCCCCTCCCTGAGCTTCCTGTGGCCACCACTCATCCTGCAAAGAGCTGGAGGGAAAACACTCCTGCCAGTGCTGAGACCTCCCCTGGGGAGCAGGGACCAGGCTCTGCTGCTCATCTCCTACCCAGAGAAGCTCCTGCCAAAGAGGAGCTATATCGTGGGAGAGGGAAAGGGAACATGGCAGTGGAAGTTATTTGAGCAACAGTTTCAACATCACTAACAACCCTCCTCACCCAAAGCCCTGGAGACCCTTTCAGCAGTCTGAAAAGTTGCTAAACAAGCAGTGCAAAGGGGCATGGAGGGGGAGGCTGGCTTGGCTGCAGGTGGTGTTGGAGGGCCCCAGCTGCCCCAGCAATGGTCACACAGGGCTTCTGGGGCTGAGCAAAGACCCAGCATTAGCAATGCTGCTTGGGATCTCATAAAGGCTTCTTTTGGCTGCTGAGCTTTCTATTTGTTCTTGTTTGAGCAAGGAGGGAGGTGGCTTTGTCTGACAGCTACCCCTCTCTCCCGTGGTGGGGAGGACAGCCCCTGTGCAGGCACCAGCTGCCTCCTGCTCCAGGTGCTGGACCCCCCCGGAGCTGGAGGTGTATTAATATTTGCTATGTGATACCACAGCTCGCTCGGTGCTGCGGGCAAAACACAGCATAACCATGGCAACTTTTTTTCCCCGACCTCGTCAGCACACCCTGCTAATCTAGGCAAGTCACCCCCACAGCCCTCGTGGTGATTAAGCTGGGTGTAATGAGCCCTGTAAACCCTGGGAGTCCCAGCAGTTCTTCCCTCTCTTCCTGGTGAGGAGATCTGTAACAGGCTTGTCATCGGGAGGCTCCCAGGGCTCACGTTGCAAGGAAAAACAACCCAGGCTTGGCAGCTGGCCTGGCTGTTTTGGGGTCTCTGTGCAGACAGGGAACAAGCCTGTGTCCCGGCTCGTATGTCTGGGCTCCAATGAACCATCCTGGGACAGCCAGGGCTTGGCCCGTGGCGCTGCCAGGCCAAGCCAGGAGCAGGGCAGAGCTGGGGGGCTGCACTGAGCCCTTGTGCTCTGGCAGACAAAGGCAGGACAGGGCCCTGCATGGAGGGACTTTGCTCCATGCAGGATTCACGGAGCTCAATGAGTGTGTCCCTGGCAGCCTGGCTGGGCTGCGTGTGCCTGTGGCTCCAAGATGGGTGTGCAGGCAGTTATCTAAGAGCTGGGGTGTGCCTGGCACAGCCCTGGCCCAAGGGCACGCTCTTCTCCCACCCTTGCCCTGGAGGCAGCTGCAGCCCTCCCAGCCCATCACCCTGCCTTGGGCCTCTCCTCTTCACAGCCCTGCTCCGAGCCCAGCCCCAACATCTCCAGCTCAGTTTGGGGGGCTTTGTATCTCCGTGTGGGGGGGCTGGGCTGGGCTGCAGCTCCTGCGTCCCCCAGCAGGGTCTCTCAGCTCAACAGGTGGTGGCATCGCCAAGAGCCTTTAAAAGTGTGTTTGTCTGCATTTGAAACCTGGGACTTGTCCCCTTCATCTTAGGGGGAGTTCTGTTCTGCAGTCTGTTTCCAGAAGCAGAAACTCTATAACTGCCAGTCTGGATGTGTCTGTGGCCAGCCTATGTCCATTCCTCCTTGTCCTGGCTTACACAGCAGTTCTCCTTCCCCCAGTGTTCCTGGACAGCTGGTAAATCCCCCAGCTGGGCCAAGCCCCCCTGCCCAGCCCCACAAGGCATGTCTGCAGCACCAGGTTCCTTCCTCCAGGGCTGCCAGGCATTGCTCCTCATGGCACAGCACTGCTGCTTCATTGCTCTTCAAGAAGCCCTTGATGTCTGTGGGCAGCGTTGGCATTGGTATCCAACAGAGACCTGGTGCTTAACCTCCTTCCCCCCAGCCCTTCTCCCCTTTTCGTTCCTCAAAGCAGAGGAGCTGCAGCTGAGGCTCCAAATTCTTGCCAGCAGCCTGGGAGACCTCTTGCTTTAACCCAGAGAAGGGAAGGGAGGGGAAATGAGGTTTGGAGGATAATTCTGGCAGCATCAGGCATGAGAAAGATCAAAAACTCAGGGCAGGAGTACAAGAGAGGAGGGAAGCTGTTGCGTGCATGCTCCTGGAACCCCCTGACCTCCTGCTTCATGCATACTGCACGTTATTTCTGTACCTACTTAAATTAAAACCAGCCTTGTCTTGTGGACGCTGACTGGAGCCAGGCAGTTCTTCTCCCCAGGGGAGAATCCAATTTTCACTCTGTGTAGCTTGTGTTTTTGACCTGGAATGACTTTCTATTTAACAACCGCTGCCTCCAAGCCCTGTACCGGGCTGTGCTTCCCTGCCCTGCCTGCGCTGCTGGAGGCTGGGACAGACCTGGAGCTACGGGTCCCTTCCCCTTTGTGGTGTGAATGGGTTAATTACAGCTCAGAGGTGCCACGGGGCTAATTTGAAAGTAAAGGCACAACAGCCTTGTCCCAGAGGTGCTTTCCTTCCTGCAGCACAGGTCTTGGTGCAGGACAAGTTCTTGCTCCTGAGCTTTTCTCATGGACCGTTAGGGCAACGAAGCTGGGGAAGGGCCTGGAGGACAAACCTGACGAAGAACACTTGAAGGAGCTGAGAATGTTTAGTCTGAGGAAGAGGAGGCTGAGGGGAGACCTCATCAGTTTCTACCACTACCTGAAAGGTCATTGTAGAGAGGTTGGTGCTGGTCTCTTCTCACAGGTAACAGGAGACAGAACAAGAGGGAAGGGCTTCAAGCTGCACCAGGGCAGTTTTAGACTGGACATTAGGAACAGTTTTTTCACAGAAGGAGTGGTCAGACACTGGAACAGGCTGCCCAGGGAGGTGGTTGAGTCACCATCCCTGGATGTATTGAAGGGTCATTTGGATGTGGTGTTGGTGGAGATGGGTTAGGGGAGAGCTTGGTAGAGTAGGGATGATGGCTGGACTCAGTGATCCCAAGGGGCTTTTCCAGCCTGAATAGTTCTGTGATTCTATGAGCAGTCTGACAGTCCTGTACCTAACATCTATCAGAGGCTCAGGAGACATGGTGGTGTCCATGCCGGGAGGCAGTGAAGGGGGTTTAAAGTATTGATTCACTTCTGCAGTCCTTGAAAACCTCCCGCAGCAGTTCTGAGAGCATTAGCTGGTGTGACATGATCCATGGCCGTGTGCTGGGAGCAGCAGCAGACAGCAGCAATGTTTTGCTTCTCATTCGCTCATCTTAATGAGTCTGAGCTGTTCTGGGTGTCTCTCCAGCAAGAAGAGAGGCTCCTCCAGGGTTGTATAATTCATTGAGGGCAAAGCTGTCCTGTTTTGAGCCACCTCAACACCCAGCACAGCAATTAGTCACCGCTTCCCAGACATGATGCACCACGCCAGCCCAGCAGCCCGCGGGGGTCACGGGCTGCCTGCCCCACAGCAACGTGCCTCTGCCTTCAGCCTGTGACTCCACAGTTAATCAGTCTGAGATAGGCGAGTAAATAAGTCAGTCATTCAAGACTAATGCACAAAAGGACAAATATTTTAATAAGTGTAGCCCATTGTTTGTATGTATTATGCACCAGATCCACACAGGATATGGAGGAGGGAGCGCCCGAGCTGCAGGATTAACCCGTCACTGAGCCCCTGGTGCTGCCCCTGCCCCTCCCATGGTCCCAGCAGTGCTGCCCTCCCTGAAGACAAGGGAGGATGAGCATATGCCCGTGTAGCCCTGATATGGGGAATGTGCTTGCCTTTGAAGTCCCCAACCACCAAGATGTTGGGTTTTGGCTGTCACAGCGGGTATGGAGGGGGACAGGCTTATTTTCCTCATCTTGAGATGAGTGGGGTTCCCTCAGTTGGGTGGCAGAGTTTTGCTCCCACAGAGCACGAGGGAGAGCAGCAGTTGTGGGGACCCCACTTGTACCAGCCAAATCACCCTTTAGATGAGATGTTTGCCCCCTGGCTGAACATTGCTCTGGCAGGCTGCTCTGTCTCCCTGCCCACCATGAGCCTGCCCGGCATCTCTTGCTGCCTCCAGAGGCTCCCAGGGTCTGGATCCCAGGCAAAGGTGTTAGTCTGTTACCAGGTTTCATTCTTAACCAAAAAAACACGTGCTGTGCAAGTGAAGCAGAATGTAGTTTAGGCCTTTGAATCCCAAAAAGCTGTTATGAATTAATCCTCCTTGCACTTGCCTGGATGCAGTGTGGCACTGGGAGCAGAGGCTGGAGGGGGTGGAAGAGCCATACAGGATGACCTCTTTTCTTATGAGCTGAATTCCAGCTTTGCACTCCAAATCCCCACTTTTATAGACTTTTCCGCTGCAGTCTGCTCCTGCCCTGGGCATGCCTGTGTAACTGCTCCTCTCCCTGCATTCCTTAGATTCTTCTGCTGCTGGAGACGCTGGATTGAAGAAGGAGCCTGAGGTCCCTGGTGGAGAAGGGGAGGCGAGGAGGAGGAGGAGGAAGTTTCTCTTGGACTCTAAGCTGTCAAACCAGAAAGCTAAACCATGTCACAGGTCATACAGAACCACGTGCTGCGTGTTGGACAGACCGTGTGTGTTTCCTCACAGGAGGAAAGCAAGAGCTTCCCCCCTGTGGGGTACCCGGGCTGCTCCACACTGCCCCTGCCCTATGGATACTACTCTGCAGAGGGCTGGGCTGGCCCCCCAGCCATGGTGCACCCCAGGGGGGGGCTGTACGGACCCCACCCCGTGTTGGAGCACGTGGCTGCTCCCGCCCAGGGGAAGGGGCAGCAGGACCCCCCTTTGGAGAGATGTGCTGCTCTGTGTCAGCCACAGCAGGAGGAGGACACGGGTGGGGATCCCGAGGCTCACCTGGTGTCTCCTACCTTGGACATATCAATAGAGAGTCTCAACCAGCTGATCCTAGAAATTGATCCGACCTTTCAGCCACTCACCTGCAAGCCAGGGAAGGATGTGGTCAGCAGGAGGAGGACATGGGTGGGGATCCCGAGGCTCACCTGGTGTCTCCTACCTTGGACATATCAATAGAGAGTCTCAACCAGCTGATCCTAGAAATTGATCCGACCTTTCAGCCGCTCACCTGCAAGCCAGGGAAGGATGTGGTCCAACCTGCTGCTCAGCATGATGCTGCTGCCACCAAGAAACAAGATCCAGAGGCAATGGGTGAGGCAAAAGGTGCTGGCTGTGTGGTGGAGCCAGCGCAGCTTTGACTGAGTAAAAACACTGTGCAAGAGGCAGTGGAAGTCCAGGGCAGGGAGATTGTTGGGTACACACCAGCACCCTCTGTGTGGGCAGGATGAGGCCCTGTGCTGGGAATGGGCATTGGTGACATCCCCACATGCCCAGTGGGATCAGGGTGGGATGTTGGTATTAGGGCTTCATGCAGGAGAGCAGATGTGTCTCCAAGCTCTGCCTCACTAACATGCTTAGGTGGCCTCAGTCTGACATGTGGCTCAGGAGCCAAAGCAGGGAGAACATCCTTAATCCAACCTCATGTTTGTTTTCTTAAGTTTGGAGAAAGCAGTTATCATTAGAAATGGGACTCGTAGCTTACAGAAAATGCAAATCCAAGTTATTACCACCAATGAGGAGGGACAGGCCCAGACCTGTGGATGGGATGTCTGCAGGGTCCTTCTCCCTGCAGCAGAGCCCCAGCTCTTGGTACCAAAGGGCAATGCCTTTTCCAGGGTCATACTTGACCTGTGACAGCACAAGGATTTGAAGCCAGATTTCCAAAGCCTTGGGCTAAGGTACTGATTGTTACACAACCATCCCATTTAAATGTTCCCAATCACTTTGCCAGGGAAATTCTTCCTGCAGGGCTTGTGCACTCCTCCAGCAGCATACCTGGCATACAGAAGGCAGAACATCAGCAGCACATACCAACCCTCTTTCTGCTTTCATGCCTTGATGCCTTACATGAACCCTTGTGCAACCCTGCATCATCCCTGCACTCCAAAGCTCTGCTGTGTGTGCTGCTCCTGCTCTGTGCACTCCTGCCTGTGGCTTCTCCACAGTGTTGGCTGCTGGACATGCCCTGCACAGGGTCACACCAGCAGTCACTGCTGCCTGTTGCTGCAAGTGTTCTGGTGCACTGAAGAACAGACCTATGATGTGTTCAGCTGCCTAAAGACACCATCTCACTGCTTTGGAAAAGTTACTGCCTATCCATCTCTTCCAACATGGAAATACCTTCAAAATCTGTCCTGAGGCCTCTTTCCAGAGGAGGTCAAATAAGAAGATGTTAAAGGCATGAAAAAAAATCTGTTCTCCCTGAGTGTGAGGGAGGCAGGGCTAGAGGATCAGGTGTGTGTCTGTGAGCAGGAGGGTCCTGAGGCTGGAGCTGGGAAGCAGCTGGAATCAGGGGGTGCAGGAGCTGGAGTGGTGTGAGGACCCACAGGGCTTGTGTGGTTGTGGAGCTGATGGATCCCTCCTCCCCCAGGGATGGAAGGGGGTGGCTTTGCAGAGAAAGTGCTATGACATAGTGCAAGTTCAGATCTTGGCTGTTCAGGCTGGTGTTTGGAGGCATCCAGATGCCTCTCTTCAGGCATTGCTGGAGAGCTGGAGTCCCAGACAGCTCAGCAGGTAGTGTGCTAGTGGTTTTTAGAGCCTGGCTCCAAGTGTAGGACTGAACATCTGGAAATCTGGCCTTGAACTCAGTGGGAAAAGCCTCACTTCAGCTTTCGTTTTCTTTTAACAGTGCTTATTTTTTATGCAAACTTCCTCCTGCTGCACAGCATCCCTGTTCCCCCACCTCCTCCTGCTCCAGCCCTGTGAGCTGTGCCTGCACTGCTGGTACTTGCTTGTTTGGAGGAGAGGAAGGGAGAGGAGAGTGTCTCAGCTTGCGTGACAGCTGGGCTCTGTTTGCTGCATTTCTGCCACTCCTTGATGCTGAAAAACTTGCCAAGGTCTTGAGCAAATATTTGAGGTTTAACCACACCTGATAAGCAGGAGCAAAGGCAAAAAAGGGCCCCATTATCCCAGGGCACAGATGCTTTTCAGTTAATTCTTTAAGGGACAGTTAAAATCGCCATTTCTTTTCCTCTTTGGAGGGAGATCTTGACAAAAAGCATCCGGCCAAGAGCCTGCTGGAAGGGTTTGCAGACTGATACTGGAGCCACATGGCTCTGGGGATGGTGCTGGAGAAGCTGCTGTGGCTGCAAGGGCAGTGGGGCTGTGGGGGGGAAGGTTGGAGCAGCGGCAGCCCCCCTGGGCACCAGCCCTGCGGCTCCTCTGCTGGTCCTGCTGGTCCAGCCCCGCACTGGGATCAGCTCAGGGAACGGGCTCAGAGAGGAACTTTTGTACAGACTTGTGCTTTTCCTGCTCATCAAGGTTTATGCCCCAGAGGTCTGGCTGTTCCTTGCAGTAAATGGGCTGCGGAGCTTGGCAGCCTGGAGCCAGCTGCTCTGCCCTCACTGGTGGCTCCCAGGGCAGGACCCAGACACGAAACAGCAACTGCTGGGGAGCTCAGGGCTCTTAAGAGCAGGTTTTCGTTGCTGCAGCAAAAAGGTTTTTTTCTCTCCAAGAAACACCTTTAAGACAGGGAACTTTCCTGAACTTCATGGCAGGGCAAGAACCAGGAGCTGAAAACAAAGATGAGCATGTTCAGACTGGAAAAGAGAGGCACAGGGCTGGCAGTGGAGGTGATTAACTTCTGGAACAGCTTCCCTGGAGAGGTGATGAATTTGCCATCATTGCAAGCAATGAATCAAGTCAGAGTGTCTCTTGCTAAAAGGCATCTTCTAGCTCAGCCAGAAATTATGGCCTTGTTCAAGGCAGCCAGTGAGTGATGTCCATTGGGCACCTGGGAGTCAGAGACCCCTTTTCCTGGCTATGAGGTTTCATTGAAGATCCGGGAGCAACTGATGCTCCTTCAGATGTGTTACCTTAGGAATGACAGCAAGTAAAGGGGCTAGGAGATGCCCTGATGCCCTGAGCATGGATGGAAGAGCAGGAAGAAACACATGGCAGGGCATGGGCACAGAAACTGTCTTGGAAGTGATTTTTTCCACTAAAAGGACTTGTGTAGGTTGGGAGAAGGGAAGGAAGAACAGCCAGCCCCTACCCTGAGCTGAGCACTTGCTGCTGGGATGACTCGTCCCATAGCTGACACCTAAACCCTCATAACTGCCTGTGTCCCACATGACTGCCCTTTGCCTCCTGCTCCAAAGCCCTGGTGCAGGTGGATGGTGAGGATGGCATGGATGGGTGTTTGACTGTGCATGGAGCCAGGTGACATCTCTGTGCTCCTTTGCCAGCCTCCTCAGAGGGTGTGCAGGACCCTGTGTTTGCTGCCACAGGCACCCTCTGAGCCCCACGTCAGCCTCAGGGGGAGCAGCCAAATATTTTTCTCTTGACTCAGGTATAAACCAGGCTGGAAGAAACACCCTCCCTTGGCTGCAGGTCTGGGCAGGCAGCTCTGTGCAGTGCTGGGGGGGGGTGGGGGGGTGTCTGTGCTGCTGTGTGTAACCCCTTGTCCCTGGGAGCCCATGACCACTGGGCTGGGTCTCCCTGGCTTGGAGTCTGTGAAGAAATCAGCCCTCAGAGGGTCTCAGCAAAGGCCAGTGTTGGGCCAGGAGGGTCTGCCCGTGGTGTCCAGGGGTCCTGGGGACAGCAGCCCTGCAGGGCGTGCCAACCAGAGCCAAAATCAATAGTAAGAAGAACAGAGACGTGTCCCCTGCAGAGCTTGGCTAACGAGCCTGAACACTGAATCAGTAACGACCTTCTCTTTCTTGTTACAGACATTAAATACATTGAGATGACACCAGGCAGAGCCACGTGTCCTGAGCTGCTGCCGGGCTCCCCCAGCCCTTTGGGAACACCCTTCTCCAGGTCCCCGCAGAGCAACAGCTTCCTGCCCCAAAAAGGGGGACTCAGAGGCAACTACAGCACCAGTGGCAGTGTGGTTTTCTCGAGCCCTCCCAGACCCACGAGCCCTGACCCGGGTGCCCCGACCTGCAGCACAGCGTCCGAGCCCCCCGCCCACAGCGGCACCTCCTGCGGCCCCGGGGCTCTCGGCACCTCCCCGGGCTTCGACAACTTGCTGAAGCCTGTGCAGGTGGTGAGGGCCCAGCAGAGGAGCAGCTGGGTGTCTCAGCTCTCCACCAGCCCTGGCTCAGACACCAGTTACATCCTTGGAAGGTAAATGCTGCTTTGTGTCCTGGGCTGGGATGGAAGGGGCATGGGGCAGTTACCCTGAGTCCCACTGTCCAAGCTGCCTTCCTCAGGCTGGGATTTGCTGTCCTGCAGGGCTGGCATGGACTCTGGGGTGGGCTGTGCATCCCACCCCTGCCAGATGGCCCCCTGATCTCCTGCTCTGTGTCCCTCTCCTGCAGCAGCACCCACTCGCTCCACAATGAGGACTCGGATGCTCTCCCCGCTGCCGGTGGCTCCACCGACTGCCTGTCCCCTGCCAGCTCCCTGGGCAGCCCCTGCCCACCTTCCCCCAGCATCGGGTCTCACTCTGGAGAGGCTTTTGGCCAGAGTCCCCATCAGCCCAGGACAGCCTGCTCCATCAAAGCCAACACCTCCCTGCCCCAGAAGGGACAGGCCAGCAGCCGCCCCCCCCCGAGCAGCTGGGTGTCTCAGCTCTCCACCAGCCCTGGCTCAGACACCAGTTACATCCTTGGAAGGTAAATGCTGCTTTGTGTCCTGGGCTGGGATGGAAGGGGCATGGGGCAGTTACCCTGAGTCCCACTGTCCAAGCTGCCTTCCTCAGGCTGGGATTTGCTGTCCTGCAGGGCTGGCATGGACTCTGGGGTGGGCTGTGCATCCCACCCCTGCCAGATGGCCCCCTGATCTCCTGCTCTGTGTCCCTCTCCTGCAGCAGCACCCACTCGCTCCACAATGAGGACTCGGATGCTCCCCCCGCTGCCGGTGGCTCCACCGACTGCCTGTCCCCTGCCAGCTCCCTGGGCAGCCCCTGCCCACCTTCCCCCAGCATCGGGTCTCACTCTGGAGAGGCTTTTGGCCAGAGTCCCCATCAGCCCAGGACAGCCTGCTCCATCAAAGCCAACACCTCCCTGCCCCAGAAGGGACAGGCCAGCAGCTGCCCCCCCTCCATCCTTAACTCCACAGCTGACATCCCAGTGCTGCTGGTGAATGGGTGCCTGGAACAAGGAGATGCACATTCCAGGCAGGCCAAGCCCCCCTCAGCCTCTGCCAAGCAGAGCCCCCCTCCCAGCTGCAGCCCAACCCTGAGGCTCGGTGGCCTGAACAACGCGCTGTCGGCACCAGCGCTCTCCTGTGTCCCAGACAGTGAGTAACCTCCTTCCCATAGGGCAGGTCTGGGAGAGAAAGAGCTGCCAGGAATGGGGGGCAAACATCAGGTTCTGCTCCCACAGAAGGTCCTTGCTGCATCTCCACAGGGTTGCAGGGCTCTGTGGTGATCTCCAGCTCTTTGCTGATGACCCTGCACTCACCATAGTGTTTTGCCCAGCAGGCAGAAATGCTTTGGTCCCCCAGAGGAGATGCAGATACACATATTTATCATACCTGAGAATAAGGACTGTAATTCTCTCATTCAATACTTGTTTGTGGGCCCAGAAGGGATGGGGAGGAGGGGTTGGGGTTCCAGTTTGCTCTGGAGGACATCTAAAGATACCAGAGTTTATAAGGTCCCTCGTTCAAGAGTAAATACTAGGTCTATTGTTCTCTGGAGGAGATTAGCAGAGGCAGCTCTTAGGGCAAAGGGTTTTAATTTGGATTCTTACGGGAAATACGGGAGAGTTTTGTGGGTCAGATCCTGAGCTGGTGTAAAACCCCATGGTCCAGTGGACTTGTGCAGAGCTGGGCATCCTGGCACTGCTGGGGACTCCATGCCCTGTGTCTCTGTGCTCTATTGCAGCCTGCCAAGAGATAATTACATGGAGAACAAATTATTCTGAGTGGGGAGGAAGCTGTGATCAGAAAGATTGAAAAAACAATTCAACCCTGGCCAGCCTGAAAGAGAAATATCTTTTCTAGGGCTCTATCCTGCTCAGTGATGTCTGCTGTGAAGGTCTTCAAGGTCCTATGCTGGTCTTGATGTCTAATGTCTCTTGCAGGTTCCCCCTGGGCTGGGCAGCCGACCATGAAGTTTGTGATGGACACATCCAAGTACTGGTTCAAGCCGAGCATCACCAGGGACAGAGGTAAGGCAGCAAGTGTCCCTGCTGGGGTAACCCTGTTTCAGATTTGCTCTCTGTGGGTTTGCAGGACTCATGCCTGTGCCCCAGGCTGGAGTTTGCCTCCCTGCAGCACCTCAGCCTGGCTCTTGCCCCTGCTGAGCTCCTGCAGGGACTTGGTGCTGGCAACTCCAAGTATGTGTGCAAAGCCCCACTCACGGGTGTGGGGGGAGGGCTCAGAAACATGGGCTGTGCCTCAGCCCCTCTGTCCCCCTCAGGTCCAGCAAAGCTTCTCCTGCCTCTAACTGTGCTGCTCCTCAGCACAGCCTGAGCAAGGGCTGGCTCTGTGCTGGGAACTGCAGGGACTGAGCTGGGCCCCTTTGGTACCTGCACCAGGGCCACGCTCAGCAAACCCTCCTGAGCATCTCACTGCTGCCGAGGAAGGACTCCCTGTGGGAGCGTGGGCTGGATGCGAGTCCAAAGTGGGGAGGTCCCACCTGTTTTGCTTGGCTGAGCCTGTGCCTGTGCTTTGGCAGCGGTGCAGCTGCTGCGGGCCAAGGAGCCGGGCGCGTTCGTGGTGCGGGACAGCACGTCGTACCGGGGGTCCTTCGGGCTGGCCATGAAGGTCCCTCCCGCCTCCCCGGCTGGCGGCCACACAGGTACGGGGGCTGCTCGGGGGGCGGGGTTGGCTTCAGCGAGAGAATGGAAGCGAACTGAAGCCAGCTGAGGAGCTGTGGGACCCTGGTTGTGTGGGACCCTGCCCGGGGCTCTGTGCGTGCCGAGGGGCGGGCACTGACCCTGGCACTGACCCTGGCACTGGCACTGACCCTGGCACTGACACTGGCACTGACACTGACCCCGGGCCCGCTCGCAGGCGATGAGGGCAACGAGCTCGTCCGGCACTTCCTGATCGAGTCCTCTGCCAAGGGGGTGCGCCTGAAGGGAGCCAGCGAGGAGCTGTATTTTGGTAAGAACAGCGGCCCGGGCAGCGCCCGGGGCTGCTCC